GGGCGGGAAGAATGCCCTGGGCTGTGGAGGGAGGGTAGGGGGTTGCTCCACAGCATCCCCCCTGAGTGTGGAGGCAGAGCTGGACCATCTGAGCAGTGTTTGCAGATTTTCCAATGAGAAACAGATTTCATGACAATTTTAAAGGCAGCTTTATTGAAATAGAATTAATGCAATAAAACTGCCATGTTTAGAGTGTATTTTATAGGGTGTGATGTATGCATGCATGTATATCTATCCCTGAAGCCATCTCCACAATCAAGGTCAGATTCCCATTACCTTCAACCCTTTCTACATGCTCTGTGGGAACCCTTCCTTCCCACCCATCCATGCCCATCCTCCAGCCATCCAGTGCCCTGATTTCCGTCAGTAGAAAGGAGATTGCATTTACAAGATGTTTATCTAGATGGAACCACGCAGCCTGCGTGCTGTTTCCGTCTGGCTGCTTTCACTTAGCATCACGATTCTGAGATGGTGTCTGGGTTACGCTGCGATCCACAACACCCAGGGAGAAAGAGGAAGCTGTCTGCGCCTGTAAAGACTGTTGGACTCGGACCCCAAGGGACAGTCTGCTCTCTTCTCCACGGGGGCAACAAGTCAGAATTGGCAGTGCGTTTGAGTTCTGAGTTACCTGTGTTGCGGCATGTACTCCATTCCTTTCTCTGACTGAATCGCGGTCCATCGTGCAACTAGATCCCATTTGGCTTATCCATTCACCTCTTGATCATCACTTAGGTTGCTTCCAATTTTTGACTATTACAAATAAAGCTAAGAGGAGCATATGTGAATAAAGATTATGAATGCGCTTTCATTTTCCTTGGTTAAATATCAAGGAATGGATTGAATAGGCTAAATGGTGGCTTCATTAGGCTACCTGGAAGGTGTATGATGACGTTTTAAAGAAAATGTCCAACTTATTTCCAAAGTGTTAGCTTAGAATCTGATCAAATATTGTGCCCATTAAAAAGTCAAATTGTTTGACTCCTATTGTTGAGGTATAAGTGTTCTTTATATATTCCAGATACAATGGTTTTGTCAGAGATGTGTTCTGCAACTGTTTTCTCCCAAGCTATGGTTTGCATTTTCATTTTTATAGTACTGTCTTTTGAAGAGAAAAATGTTTAAGCTTTCATAAAGTCTGATTCATGAGTTTTCTTCCTATTATAATTTGTATTTTTGGTGTGATTTTTAAAAAACGTTTCAAAGTATAAGTTAGGTGGAGGTTTACTTATCATATCGTCAAATTTATATCCAACATTTTAAACTATTTATCAACTGCCCCCAACAGTTCATCCTTCACCCGCTCCTTGATTTCTCTCCTCCCTGGTGGGGGACAGCTGTCTTCCATTTGCCCAGGTTGGCACCATCCACACTCCTGTCCAGCGCTCTGTCTTCCCTCTCTTGCCCGTCCCTCTTTGGGAATCACTAAGGTCTGTGCTCTTTGGTTTGAAATCTTCATCTTGTTTTGCTTTTTTATCAGTAGGCTTATCTAATATTTAGCCTTTTGTGATCGGCTGATCTCTCACAGCATACTGTCCTCCAGGCCCACCCCTGTCATGGGGAACTTCGTGGTTTTTGTTTTGTTTTTAGCAAAACATGCTTTTGATATGACCTTTAGGAAAGTGTTTGCCAAACCCAATGTCACTGAAATGGTCTCCTGTGTTTTCCTCGAGGCGTCATAGGATTTGCTTTGACCTTGGGTTCTATGAGTCACTTCAGGTGCATTCTTAGAGATCGTGAAATAGTACCCTCTTTTACATTTCGTTTTCTTGACAGCTTTGTAAAAAATCAAACAACTGCACATATATATGTGCCTATCCTTGCACTTTGTCTTCTGGTCATTGATCTATTTGTCTTTCTTTATATCAATTCTATACTGTCATGATTAGTTTTATAATCACATTTGAAATCAGGCAGTATAATTCATCCAACTCCCCTCAAATTGCCATGTTCTTGTCTAATAGTCATATCATACGTGCCTGTTCTGAGTCAGTTTTGATTAATTTTTCTTCTCATTGCGAATCACACTTTCCCACTTTCTTGCATTTCCATTAGTTATTAAACGAGATATTTGACATTGTAGATTTTACTTTGTTGGATGCTGAATACGTTTGTCTTCCCATCAATATTCGTGAGCTTTGTCTGAAACGTAGTTGAAGTATTTGGAAATAATTTGATTCTTTGTTCATCTTGTCTTTAAGTTTTGGTAGGCAGGATCAGTGCAATATTTCATCTTTGGCTAACTTGACCAAACTGCTGAGGTCAAACCTTTCTGGGTTCTCTCCCTGATGCGCAAGAAATCATCACCGTGTCACCGCCGGCTTGCAGGGCGGGAACTATGAAGGGCCCTTTGTGAGCTCCAAGGGTTGTTCCTTCTTATCCTTTGAGGGTCTCTCCCCAGCCTTGAGTAGTCCTCATACACGTGCTCTGATTAGTTTTCAGCTGACGACTTCAGGGGAACCCTCTGCACACCCCTCCGCTCTCTCTGTGGAGCTCTGGTTCTCTCTGGGAACTCTGGCTGCCTTGGACCCTCCGTACCCCGACTCTCTCTCCTTGCATCAGGGAACTCGCTGGGCTCTGCCTGGGGCTTGCAGAGACCTGGACATGCTCTCTAGGCCCACGCTGGGACAATTGTAGAACCGACTTTATTTCTTTACCTTCTCTCAGGGATCCTTCGGGGTTGAACGTCCAATGTGCTTCTAAGAAACATGACGACTTCCTCTATTTTGTATTTTTTTAAAAGTTGTTTTTGGTGGAATGGTTAATCTGTCTTCAGCTACGCCGCCATGTCTAGCTGTGGCAGTGTGGGCCATGATGATTTTTAAGAATCAAAATGCCCCGTCAGATTCTGGGGAAACAATTGAGGCAGATAGATGGGGAAGGTGTAAGACGAGTGAGGTCCACCAACACCAGAACAATCTTTAGGCATTTGATTTTCTAAAGAGAGGTAAAAAGAACAACAACAAAATACCACCCAGCCCCTTATTTAAGAAACTGAAGGCATTCTGAGGCCGATGGATACGATGCCTTTTGCTGTGTCACATAGCCAAGTGACAGAACTGAAATTCAGACCCAGGTAGTCTACAGAGCCATTCTATAGAGTTCATAGCTCATGCCGGTCGATCAACCACAATTCGACTAATTATAAGTTGCTTACATTTTTGGTTTTGTTTTTGTTTTTCTCATTGTGGGAAAGACTCAGTGGCGTGGTGGCTGTTTGCGCTAACCAATTCCTAGCCAACCTAAGTAGCTGACGGCAAGACCGGTTTTCTTGCTGGTGCTGCACGAGCTGGTGTTGTGCTTACGTGCCCTCCGTTCTCCTCCTGTTCTGACAGGCACACACGTGAGGGTTTCCACCAGGCACACAAACTTTGAAGAAAGAATGTACAGCTTCTCCATCCGCATCAGTGATGGAAGCCAACCACCCATGGCAAGGACTGTCGTTTTACCAGGTAGGTCTTTTACTGCAGGCCATTTAGAATAGTGCCTGTCACCATGGGCAACTTGAGGGAAGGCTCGCCTTTGCTGCGAGATTTTGCAAAGACTCCCTTAAAAATTCTACTACCCAATACTCTCTGCTTTGCAGTTACTTTCTGCTCATGTACGGAAGATAGGTGTTTCCGGCCAGCAGATAAACAGCCTGGAATGCCCACGGTGGGCATGGCAGTTGGTATACTCCTGACTACCTTACTGGTCATTGGTGAGTATAATGTTTCAGATCCAAAGATTCCTTTCCTGGACCTCAGAAACATAAACTAATCTCAGGGCCTGAGCTGGTCTGTCTGCAAATGGTAACCTGGGTGATAGTCAAGAGTATAGCTCACCAGTAAACCATATCAACTGTTCCCAGTTAGGAGTTATTGTTTTAGTGCCACCTCTATCCATCACAGTTGGGAAATATAAGGCCCTATAAAACATAAACTATCATTAATTATACCTGGTTGCCAAGGAGAAGGAAACACAGTCTCTGTACCCTTGCTATGTGTCAGATATAGTACTTGATGTTGGTCATTTCATGATGGACAAAACATACACAGATCCTATATTCAAAGCTAAATATTCTAGTCTGCCACTGTTGGAATAGGTGGAAGTTAGCCTCACACCTGAAATGCTATGAGCTTTTCTTTGTATATTTTCATGACTGTAACTCTGTTGCATCTATGCCTTGACCCTTGATTTAGAAAGACGGCAGAGTCCCCTGTTGGGCTTCTTTCTTTCATTTCCATCTTACTCTAGTACTTACTCTTTCTCTCTTTAATGGTTGCCACCACAAGTTAAAGACTGGAAATGGTTACTTCATCGATTCACATGTCCCCAAGTGAAAGGTTTGGGGTATCTAGCAATACAACTAAAAGGGATTACACAGTTTCATATTTTTTTGCCTTGAAAAGAACTTGGGTTCTTTTTACATGGTCTGAATGGTTTCTTCCTGCATCTGATCTTTCTCCTGCCATCCATGCTATTACATGGGGCTCAGACTCTGATTCCTGGGTCTCCTTTCCATATGCTGCCAGTCTGTACTCTTATTAAGGCCCTTCACTGCATGACCTCTGCCCGTCCAAGCATGTGCAAGTTGACCATCATTTTTCCCTGGTCCACACATATCATATTATTCTGTATTTTTTCTTACCTGGTTGATTCTCCTGTTTTGAAAGAAGTTTTGAGTTCATACTGTAAATACCATTTTCTAACACAACCATCTAATTGCACAATTTTGCCACAAATTACAAGTTGACAGAGTTTGGGGATATAAAGAGGTGCAGTGATGTGGCAGAAGAATCTTACAGTTTCACATTCTACCCCCGCCCCCTGAAAGTGCAGTTGAGATCATTATAAGCCCCTAACGTGGCTCTGGGATTCCAGTCTTTTCTGCCGTGGCTCTTCCTGTAATGTCACTGAAGATTAATTTTCTTAAAACTTTTTTATATTTGCCTCTGATTTATGGCATACATTTAGTGCTAAAATGTAACTTTGTGGGCAGTCAAAAATGGGAGAAACTTTGAAAGGTAGGTAGTCTACTCAAAAGTGTCCCCAAATCTGGGCAGGCATCATGCAGAAGGATCATAGAAAATGGAATGTTTGGGGTGGACCCAAGAAAAGTAGGCTTTGGATAGGTGAAAGTTCACCTACACCTGGTTGTTCTGATTAGATTGTTCTTTATTAAAGATAGTAAAAGTTTGAGAGCTCTGTCAGATGCTTACATGAGGATTTTTTTAATCCTTTGAGTAGACAGGACATTAGCATATTATATTCCTTGGTAGATGGACAGCTACCAGGCTTGGTACATGCTGACTCCGAATCAAGTAAGTGATAAGCTCCCTTTTCCAAGAGAGGAAATACCTGGACTTCCTTATTCACCAGGGCAACAAAATCTCCGTTGCATCACAAACAAAACTGAAGTTCCATGAGTCATGTTTTCCTACCATGATGCTACTTTATAGATGAACGTGACAGTGCGTGTTATGATTCTATCTACTTGACCCTGAATTTCCTCCTCCAGGTGTCATTTTAGCAGTGGTGTTTATCCGTCTGAGGAAGAAGAAAGGGGCCGGCAGCGCGGAGGGTACTCAGCGATCTGAAGTCCGACCTCTGAATGCATGAGCCGGAAAAGCAATGTCTGAACTCCAAGTGGCATGCCGATGACGCAGTCATTTAATATTCAATCCCATACTTTTACTTTTCATCCAATATGCACGTACAATGTTTTTACATACTCCCCTCCCCCTCTAAGATTTTACTACTTTTAGATAATTCACGTGCTATAGACCTTCCGGATGCTTTTAATTTTCCCCTGGCATTTTCCTTAGCTATTAATCCCCAAACCAAACCGTTTGTCCCTCTTCAGGAGAGACGGACTACTGAAATATTCTGTACATTTTTCTCTTCATAAAGAACTTGGTTTATTACTTATCCACCACAGAACGTCCTGGATCTCACTGACGCTTTTTTAAAGGTCTGTTCTATGTCCCCTTGTTCCGGCAACTTCCTTGGTAGCTCATTAATTTCAAGGGGAAAGAAAGCAGCAGGGTCTCAGGGGAAAAAGTAAAGCCATTGTCTTCTCCCTTAGCAAAATCTCTTTTGTGATGTTATGAGCCCTCTTTCAGCCAGTATGTCACTCTTCAGTTAAAGTTGTCTTCTTGTTTGTGGGACGCAGAACCGCAGAAGGGATTCAAGCAGGCTGCTGTGCTTTGGCACAGCCTCATTTCATAATCCTCGCTTCAGAAACTCAATGGATCACCATGCAGTGGATGTTTTCTTTATGTGTATATCACTAAAGTATTGGCCATTATTTAATGCATGAAAAGAAAAATAAGGATGCACGAAAGGAATGTGTGTAAAACACCAGAATAAAGGTTGATTGTAGTGGTTTTGTTTCTCCCATCTCTTGGGCTCTGGTTGCTAGTTCTTTCTACTGGTTGCTAGTTCTTTCTACTGGTTCGGAGGGAGAACGGACTCCACCAGTTCTCTATCATGTATGCACATGGCCTCCCACATTTAATTAGTCTGAGGAGTCTAACTAAAAGAAAATAAAAATCCACCACTGACATGACCGCAGGCTGAGGTATTCACGGTAGATACTCTAGGAGGTGACAATTTTTAAGTCAGAGAACCTCTCCCGGCCTGCAGCTGTTGCCTGGCTCCTGATTTGCTCCTGGGAAGCGTTCAACATCACACACCATCCCAGAGTTTGCAGTCATGAGGAAGAGCTCATCTGTGACAAGGTACTCCTACAACAGCTCCTGAAGTAGGCCATTGCTTGTGACTTCTGTAAACCCTGGGGGCTTCTGAAGGTCTGTGGAAGATGCCATGATCTTCAATACCATATTTCTATAAACTTAGAACCCTCTTTGGAAAGTTATAGTATATTTTTGAAAGCAGAAAGATGTGAAACAAAAGAAAGTTCACTGTTCTATTTTTAAGACCCCAGTACAATTTTCCTAAGGATCCCTAGTGGCGGCGTGGTTAAGTGCTCAGCCGCAAAGCAAATGATCAATGCTTTGAAGCCACCCACCACGCTGCAGGAGAAAGAAGTGGCCGCCTGCTTCCTTAAAGATTTATAGCAAGTGTTTTGAGAATGATGATGGCAACAAATGTATAGGTGTGCTTGACATGATGGATGGATGGATGGATGAATGGATGGATGGATGGATGGATGGATGGATTATGATAAGAGTTGTATGAGCCCCCAGTAAAATGATTTTAAAAAAAGGAAAGAAAGAAAACACTGTTGACACCACCAGGAAAACAAAAAGATTCACAGCCCTGGAAACCCTCTGGGGCAGACCTATGCTGTGCTAGAGGGTCCTTATGAGTCAGAATCATTTTGACAGCAAAGGATTCGGTTATCATTTTCTTGTATAACGTTACATGGTACCTCAAGCTATTTTTGTATAACATTATATTGTACATCAAGCTAGTCTACCTGTCTTTTTAGCTGGGCCTCACTGGAAGCCTCATACTGTGTAAGATTCTCTCCGGCCTTACCTCATAGAAAGATGCAAACAATTACCTATATGAAAAATTCACAAACTATATCCCAAGCTGAAGAATCATTCAATTTCTTATCAATTTATATATTGACTTGAGTGTTTTTAGCCAAGGAGTGACAGTTACATGACACTTAACTAAAACCAACCCACTGCTATAGAGAGCAGAGAGCTTCATCTTTCTCCCTCGGAGGAGCTGATGGGTTTGAACCACTGACCTTTCAGTCAGCAGTCTGCTGTTACTCTTTACAGAATCATCAGAGTTCCTGACATGACATCTAGACCACTTAAGATTGCCAGTCCAGCTCATTTTCAGAAAATCATATAAAAAACCGGGAGACAGGTCAGCTAAGGTGGATCCAGGGCTTCCCTACCTCAACCCAATGCTATCCTTTCAGGACCAACCGCTATTATCCAGTCACTTGGAACTTTCTTATCCATTACTGCTCTTGAGCTTCCTTCTTCCAAGAGCCCTCTCTTTCACCCTACTCATTCTTCCACTATACGATCCTACCCATTCTTGACATCCCAGTTTCCTCTGGGAAGTTTTTCTGACTTCCTTCAGGGGACCAGGGCACTGCCTCATCTAAAATTCCGCACTGAGATGAGGAACATTGTTTACCTAATCAGGATCCATCCCCCTTCTTTGTAAAAGAACAGTTTGCCTTCCTACAGGACAACAGCCCTACCAAGAGCTCCATTCTGTGTGGCTTGGGGAGCGACAACCTAACTCTCCTCAATAGCCCGAGCTCTAGGAAGGAACGGGTGCAGTAGCTCAGTGACACTCTAAAATTCTAGGCCAAGGTCAGAAAGAGCACGCGCCTGCACTCTCTCTTTACTGCTAACCTACGAGGAAGTGGGCTCAGAGTGGCCCGCAAGAGTTGGGCCTGCTTGAAAATGAGAACAGCAGACATTCAAGAGTTGAGAGGAGACTGCAGATGCTACGCCTGAAGGTAACCTGGCCCTGGACTTTTCCATCCTGTGAGCCAATCAATTCATTTCGCTGTTGTTAAATCTCATTGGATTGTGGCCTCTTACAACCCAAAGAGTGCAAATCTCTCTACCTTGCATATGGCCCCTCTTCCATTCAGACCCCAGGGCCGGGTGATATTCTTGACTGGTCTGGGACCTCTTGGAAGACAGGAACCCCTTTCAGTGTTACGGTGGCGCACCATGACGCCTCAATGATTTTTTTAAAATGAAGAATAAATGAAATCGCTGATTTATTTTGACCACTCATGTGGTTGTTATTCAAGTGCTACTTATTGACAAAAATCTGAGTTACAAATGGTGTGACTCTGATCATTTTTGCTCATCAAGGACTCCTTAAACGCCCATCTCACTTCCCTACTTTCCCACACAAGTCCTAATATCACGTTCATCTTAGGTCCCAGAGTTGGCTGTAATTATAAACAGGGCCTGTCAGTAACAAAGCCATGAAAAAGTAAACAGAAAGAAAGGAAGCTAGGAGACTTGGGGGACTAGGGAAAGAGTGGGAACTCTGGTGAGAAGCTCTGTGGAAAGACCAAAGACCTTCGGGAAGCAGCAGATCAAAAGCAGAGACCTCGGGGTTCTGGGAAAAGATGCCCCATAGGCCAGTGCTTCTTGACCTTCCTACTGCCGGGACCCTTTCATACAGCTCCTCATGTGGTGGTGACCCCCCCCCACCACACCATCACATTATTTTCATTGCTACTTCATCACTGTCATTTTGCTACTGTTATGAATTGGGCGACCCCTGTGAAAGGGTCATTTGACCCCCAAAGGGGCCGTGACCCACAGGTTGAGAATCGCTGCCACAGGCAGAAAGCAGATACGACATGAAAAGAGTCAAGTTCAAGAAAGGAACAATTGCTGTGAGGATTCTGTACAGTGCTCTATACATTACGGAAGCTGATTCAAGTTTAGAAACACCTGTATTTCTCAAAAAGACAATGTCTTACAATACCATCGCTTACAACATATTTTTAAATACTAACGAGAAAGGAAAAGAGCAAACAGCATTCAAACCTAGAAGGCGTCATATCTGCCTTCACATGCATTCCCACGTCAAAAACCTCCTCACAAAAGCCTGTCTTCCTTAGTGTGCGTAGGTGTTGAAGGATCAGCTGTTCAGTCCAGGGCTTCTCAGTGGATGCAGGTTAGAATCATCCAGGGCATTTTCTAGAAAATATTCATCCCAGAGGTCTATCCTCAATTGAGTGAAAGATTTGGGCACGGGGACCTTGCATTGGTGTTTATAAAATCTCCCCAGGTGGTACGAATGTGCTGAGAATTCCCATGCCAGAAAACCTCCGCGGGACAGGTGAGTTCCAGGTCAGTGTAGCATCTGGTTCTTTCTTGAATCTGAAGATTCGAAGACTCAGGAATAGGAAAAGTCAGGAGCTTTCTTTGTATTATGGCCTCTCAACACATCACAGTCCTCTCAGCATCCTGGGCATCTTTCCATCGAATCTGTCCTTTCCACGCCTTCTCCCAGTCTGGTGCTGACAACATGTGATCAGGAGCTCAGAACAAGGTAGGAGGGGTCTCTTCTTGAAGAGTTCCCACCCCACCCCACCCCACAACCACCAGAAGGCTTCAACTGTCTAAGAAGAGCAGCCCGGGAGCGGCAGACCCAGGAACGAAAGAACCGGAAAGCTGGGCCCTGTCTGAAGCTGAGGAGGGTGCCTGTATAGCCTAGGGCTCACCAAGAAGCAGCAATACTTCACTTTTTGTACGGGACACATCTCTGAAAAAATGACTCTAAAGCACGCATTTGTGCAAAGTAAACCTCTGGTGCATGTGTTTGGAGAGTTGGTCATGGAAAGGAATATTTTAAAAGTACAAGCGATTTTTCATTTTCCATATATATGTTTTCTTTTCATCTGGCTCTCTTTCCACATGGGTCAGGAACACAATATACCAGGCACAGTGCAAGCCCTGGTCAACATTCCCAGAAGATTTCCTGAGTGTCTGCTGGGAGTTAGTCCTTTAATGTAAGCCATGTGGGCCCTCAACACAAGGTGGACAGCCACTGAAGCTGCTTGGTGATTCTACACAAGAATACATGATCATGGACAGGGTTGTGTCCCCCACAAAATATGGTGAAGCACTAACCCCTTGCTACCTGTAAATGTGACTTTTGTCATCAGCTGAATGAACATGTAGACCGGAGTTAGTGACCTTACAAAAGGGAAGGATACAGAAAGAGAGAAGAAGAAGTCGGACCAGGTGAACAAGCATCTGGAAACCAAGGAAGGTCAGAAGCTACCAGAAGCTTCGAGGAATTCCAAATGATCTTCCCTTAAGGACTTCAGAAGGGAGGCTGGCTGTGTGAACACATGGATTTGGTCCTCTAATCTGCAGCCCTGTGGTCAATGTCTGTGGTATTGTTAAGGCAGCCCTAGTAACTAATTTGGATTCTCCCCTGGACCTCTGATCTAATCAAGTTGATGGGTAAAGGACACGCCATGCTCAAGGGCTGCACATGCCAACGGGTCTCCAAATTCTTGGACGGAATCTGAAGTCTCTTCTCACTCGTTTCTTGCCCTGGAAGAGCTGGTTGAGTGGGTCATGAAGGGGGAGAGCAGATAAAGGAGAGATGAGATATGAAAACCAGTGTTCGTTCATCAGATTGAGGGAAAGCATTTTCATTTTTCCCATTGCAACAACTGAGCTAATGTTTAAATCCAGAATTTGAAAGCCTAATTTTGGAAGAGGAAGTGGGTATGCACATGGAGGTGGGAATAAAAATAGCATGTGTGTTTACCCAGAATTTTTAGTTACTCTTTTGAATTAAGTAGGACTGGGA